AAAAAAAAAAAAAAAAAAAAAAAAACTTTTGAACCTAACCCAATAGAAAACATAACCCGTTAGGCCGTTACAAATAAACTATTCAATATTCAATAAATGTTTTTTTTCCAAATTAATTGAGGGTTTTCTTTTATATGAATTAAGTAAGGAGTTTGAAAACTTTGAAAAATGAAGAAAATTAGTGGGAGTAAAAAATAAGAATCCAAAGGGTTGCTCAACAAAATAAAAATTGTTGGTCTAAAGGGATAATTGGTAGGTAATTAGGACACCTATATTTTTTCTGGTTTATGTCAATGTCCAACACCAAATATGAAATTCAGGAGTGCACGAAACATAGATGTAAATTCATTTATTAGATATATATTATAAGGCACGTGCAAATGGGCCCTCAATCTTTTAAGTGTAATAAATTTATGGTTCTAACTTCTCAATCAATATATTTGAGAATTAAGACCCAAATCTCAGTTCAAATTTGTGATCAAATTGTATCCCCAGTCCCTGCATTCATTTAACGTTCATCAATTTCAACATAATTATTTGTTGACGGTATTTTATCTTTGATTACATCTTTAATTTTTCAAAAAAAAAAAAAATAGAGAAGCTCTTGGGTTAATTAGGACGTGAGTTATGAAGTGCAATTAGCATTTTCTTAATTACAATCCTAATTAAGTAGGATTTGATCAATTCTAATTGAGTCATGTGGTGTCCATATTATTTACACATTCCTACTTTTTTTATCATAAGATACATCGTATAGGTTTAATTGTAAAAATTCAATAAGCATCTACGTTCATTCTATCCAAAAATGGTACAAATCAAATCAAAATCATATTTTAGAAATTTTAAAGATGTCGAGGGCTTAATGAACTGTTCTTCAAAGGTTAGGGACACCTAACGAAATTCATTTAAACTATTATTTACTATTTTAGTATAAATAATTTTTCGATAAACTCTAATGGAGTTACTCAATGATTAAAAGTTGAAATTTTAAATTAAAAATATTAAATTTGATCTTTGAGTTGAGTGGATAAAGATTTGAGAATAAAAGAAGGCTATTCTTTCTTATATAATTTATAATCATATAAAAAAAAAAGTAATTTTTCAACAGCCTTGAATTTTTATTAAATCGAGTTCCAAGCTACCACCAAAAATGTATTTGCAGATGAGTCCTAAAAGGTGCTGCATGTCACGGCGCCAACCAACATTGAGAAGTAGTCTCGGTAGGCCAACTGACCGAAGATATTCTTGGAAAGGCTCTATCACCATCGAAACTCGTTCCCTCTCAAGAAATGTAGCCTTTTTTTTTTTTATATAAAATTGTATATGTAGTTAATATTGTTTGCTTTTTTTTTAATATCTGAAACAAAATATTAAAATATATAATAATAATTACATAATAAAATAAATAAAATTATGATTTACATTATGTTTTATATGTTTAATTATTATGAATAAGTATCTTAATATTTTTATTACTAAGATGTTAGAATTTTTTGATTGAAATAATCTTCTTTTAATATTTTTTAAGAGACATGCATGTAAGTAAATTGGCATATGAATATTTTTTCGTATATAATTATTTTAAATAAAGTTTTAGAAATTATATTTTTATTTAAAATACTTAATATTCTCACTATACTTAATAATTTAAAAGAATAATAATAAATAACATTAAAATTTAAAGTTAATAATGTGATGTAACTTATATTATTTAAAATATTAAAAAATAAAATTTATATTATTTAATATTTAACTATTTTTATCTTTTTTAAATTTTATAATAATATATATATTTAATAATTTAATAACATAATATAAATCATATTATTATTTTAAATTTTCACCGTTTTTATTATTACCCAATTTAAAATGTATTGAAAATGAGTTTTTTAAAACCATACGGATGTCAAATCACAAATCATCATGACAAATATCACATCACAAAGAAAATGAAGGAAGCTTAAGACTGTAACCCACAGGTTTCAAATACAATTCCGAACTCCTAATTTGTACAACTTTTTAAAAAATATATATTATATAGGTATAAAAATATATTTTACAATTTAAATTCTTTTAAATAATAAAATATTTACTTTTTAAATAAAAAAAGTATCTTTTATCATTTAAAGTTATTTTTCATTAAAATACTTTTATTTTATAAAATTTTTTAACAAATTTACATTTAAAGAAAAAAAATTCGAAACATATCTCTTAAATTAAAATTTTATCTTATAACTCGATTTATAATAATTGTGACGTGAAGTACGGATGCACTTTTATTTCATAATTTAAAATAATTTAAATTATAAAATAATATATTTATATAAATATTTCAAATTAATTTAGATATACAATTTAAAATTAATCTTTTTTTAATAAATTTTAAAATCATCATCCATCACAATAATGTTGACATTTTATTTTATAGCATTAATACCACATTTTTATAAATTCACGACTCCTCCTTGCATTAATGTATTTTCATTCATTTTAACATTTTCATTTCAAATTTTAATAATAAAAAAAAGGTGCAGCCAACAAAAAAACGTTACAAGTGTTCTTGAAAAAAAAAACGTTCCAAGTGCTCTTGGAAAAGAAAAGTGCAGCGAACAAAATATATTATTATACAATTTAAATATATAGTTGTAATATATTAATTAAATATATAATAACTTATTAAATAGGATGATTTTTTTAATTATTTTTTACTCTAGTAATAATAATAATCATATTTTTTAAAAATTGAAAAAAAAAATTTACCGAAATGGGAAAGTCGAGTCACATGTCAAAAGAAGAATAAATTCAAGAAAATGTATAAATATGACATGTGGTAAACTTTTCCTCAATGATTTCTCCTTTATAATATATATTTTACATGATAAATTTTAAATATTGAAATATAAAATTGTTCTTCTTAAATTTTAAAAAATTTAGGTTTAAAAATAATAAATGCTTAATTTGAAAAGTAGTATAGTAAAAAATTCTAGTAGTTTTTCTTTTATTATTGTGAATTAAATATTTTAGTGTACATTTTTCTCATATAATTTAGCCCAAATAATTTCTCTTTAATCAATTTTTGATTCAAAATGATATATAAATTAACAAATAATAATAATAAATATCTATTAATGGTATTGTAATGAAGTACCATTAATTGACCTTTTGATTTGAATTTTTTTATTTACCATAATTTTGGACTTCCACAATAACAAATGGAATCGTTGCGAGAAGTGGCCAGAGAAAGGGGAAAAAAAAAAAAGTGCAGCCAACAAAAAAACGTTCCAAATGTTCTTGGAAAAAAAAAGTTCCAAGTGTTCTTGGAAAAGAAAAGTGCAGCTAACAAAATGTATTATTATACAATTTAAATATATAATTATAATATATTAATTGAAGGTAAAATAACTCATTAAATAATACGATATTTTTTACTTTTTTTAACTCTTATAATAATAATCATCATATTTAAAAAAGAATTGAAAAAAAAATTACCTAAAAGAAAAAGTCAAGCCACATGTCAAAAGAATGGTAAATTCAGGAAGACATATAAATATGAGATATGGTAAATTTTCTCTTAATGGTTTTTCCTTTATAATATATATTTTATATGTTAAATATTAAATATTGAAATATAAAATTATT